TTAGCAGAATGGAAGAATTTTATAACAGGGCTCAAGAGACCTGAATTAAAAATTTAGCTCTGCTATGAATTATGTATCTCCTTTGGCAAACTAATCTACCTTTCTGAGTTGTTTGGCTTAAATGGTCATCAGATTCCTTCCAGTTCCAAACTCCATGATTTTAAGGTCTGGTCTCCCCTGTGCCAGTTGGTTGGTTGATGTCAGCTGAGAAGATGCTATAGAGGTGATTTAGTTAAAGATTCTTTTCAAGAGTGGTATGGGAGTGGGAGTTCTATTCATACTATACTCACAGTACTAGTTCTTGGGCTAAGGAAGGGGCTATACATCTAAGGTTAAAGGAGACATCTTGAGCATCCAAGAGAACACACTGAAATATTTTAATTTCTTTTCTTCTGATTGATACATTAAATCACTGAAAAATAGAACACATCTCTTTAAAAAAAATAAATTTAAAGTAACATGTAGTAGGAAATCTTTAGATTGGAACTCTGAAAATCCATGGTGAAAATCGACGATCCTTCAAATGATTGAAACTCTATGATTAACTACTTATGTGGTCTTGAGTACACTATTAAGCCTTTACAAGTTCAAGAATATGTTTAGATAACATATGTTCTAAGCCATCATCTAATTCTAAAATTACTGAAATCCAAGTAACTGTCAAATTTAAAGATCACAAAGGTTAGGATTTCTTTTAAAATGTTTGAAATGTGAATATTTAAAAATATGTGTTAGTGACATCCACTGTTCTGCATGATTTATCACACATAAAAACAATCTGTAAAGTCTACTTTTTATGGGAATTAAATTAGATGACTGAGTTTTTTTTCTATTTTCTTTTCTTCTTTGTATACTAGTTAAAATCTTCATAAACAATCTGTATCATTTATAGAGTGAACATAAATTACTTTACCTTTAGAAAAAGTAAGCAAGCAAGTTACTCAACTAAATAAGTAGAGAATTATTGCTTTTGAATTCCAAGTCTCAAAACATTCTTTTCAAATAATGCTTTTATTCTAAAGCAAGCACAATATATTACTATTTGCAAATATAATAATAGGAGTTTATTTAAGGTGATGCAAGCGTTTTCGCAATAAACCAACATTTTTAGGTTTTATTTGTTTAATTAGGTTTTAAAATATCCTCTGAAAAAAACATGGGTAGAGTTGTGTGTGTGTGTGTGTGTGTGTGTGTGTGTGTGTGTGACAGAAATGCTTTTAATAACAAAGGAAGATTTCAAAATAGAAATTACCCTGTATCAAAAAATTCAAGGCATATTTGATTTTTAAAAAGAAATCTCTTCTTTTGGTTGCATCTCCTGAAACAAATCTAAAATTTCTAAATCTGGAAAATGATGTATCATAACTAGTTACCTTTTCAACAAATAAGAATTTGCAACAAACAGAGATTATGCAACATCTTTGCAGTTATATAATAATATTTGGAAACAAGTTGGTTTATCTGAATTTTCTTGAGGCTTCCACATATGTGCACACACATTACTTGAGAAAATAATAGGATAATATGCTACAATAGTCTAATATATTTTGTCACATATAATCAAAATCACCTTTTCAAACAAAGTACATCCAAAAGACTATTATAGTATAACATAAGAAATTGAATACCTTTCATTAATTGGTTGTTTTCCAGTATTAGGGAATGAATCGAGGGCCTTGGGCATGCTAGGCAAGTAATCTTTCACTCAGACTCCTTGTAAGAAAATTTTTATTTTTATTCACTAAGTTGCTCAGGCTGGCTTCAAATCTGTGATCTTCCTGCCTCAGCCACCTACCTGAATAGCTGGGATTTCAGGAGTGTAGCATTGCACCTGGCTTTCCATTAATGTTTGATTTCTTTCCTTTTTAACTCTCAAACTAAGATTTAAGATAAAAATATTTCTTGTAGGGTGCAGTAGTACATGCCTGTAATCCCAGCAGCTGGGGAGGCTGAGGTAGGAGGACCATGGCACTAAGAAATAAGAAAACAAAACAAAAAAACCCCACAACCCTCAAATTTTACTAATCAACAATACCATTAATATAGCAAATATCAAACTACATGAGATCACCAGAAATTATTTTATTTTTAATATTCACATTTTAAGAAAAGGTGTTATTCAACCTCCTGTTAGAAATATTCATCTAGGTTGATATATATCTTTACTGTTTATAGTTTTAGACTATAATGGTTCTTTATTTGAATCACCAAGGGCTTTTTTTTGCACAATGGAAAAGAGTTCTTTACTTAAATGTCTCTATAAGGAGACAAAAGAAAACCAGGATAAATTATTGTTCACTTGCTAACTGTTGTGCAAATTAATTAGGCATAAAATATAACTTATGAAGTAGGAAACTTTTTTTTAAAGATATAAGCAGTGTCTACTTCTTGCCATCACAATTCCAAAAGCTAAATAGTGAAATTATTTATCAGCTTCTAAATTTTATTTCCTGTCTTTGATTTAACCTTTTCAGATAAAAAAATATATACAACCATCTTATAATAAAAAATGGCTAATGCTTTCTACAATGCATTTTATGTACAAACCCACAATATCAATAAAGTATTCAATAATTTTCTCAGGCTAGGGTTATAGCCCATTGGTACAGTGCTCACCTAGCATGTGTGAGGCACTGGGTTTGATTCACAGCACCACATATAAATAAATTAATTAAATAAAAGTCCATCAACAACTAAAAAAATTTTTTTACAAGTTAATTTTCTCCATAATCCCAATTCTTTACAAATTTGCAATTTCTGAATTTAAAAAATTACAGTTTCTTTTACTAGAAGGAAACCACAACTCTGAGTATGTTCAACTCTAGAACTGTAAATGTTTAAACTTACATAATAGAGGAACAGACCTTTAGCAGAATATTTTAAAAGCAATTTAAAAATTGAATGTTATATTGGATCAATGACCTTAAAGATGACAATGTCTCAATTATGTCACTTCTCTCTTTGAACTAGAAAGCACCTAAAATTTCCTTTAGTCAACTTTATCAGAAAGTTTGTCTAGGAGGCAAGGTCAGTTATAAAACTTTATCTTTAAAAACATATAGGACTAGGGGCTGTGGTTGTGGCTCAGTGGTAGAGCGCTCCCCTAGCATGTGTAAGGCTCTGGGTTCGATCCTAAGCACCACATAAAAATAAAACAAAGATACTGTGTTCAACTACAACTAAAAAAATATATATATATATATAGGACTAGGGGCCGGGGTTGTGGCTCAGTGGTAGACTGCTGGCCTAGCATGCACGAAGCACTGGGTTGAATCCCCAACACCACTTAAAAATAAACAAATAAAATAAAGGTAAATAAAAAAATAGTACTAACTGAAATCCTCATGCACCTATTTATAATAATGGTAGTCTTTACCCAACCATTTACAACATAATTTTATCCCATTCAAAGTGCTGATTTTAGCATACTACGGTGACGCAGCCTCATCAAGTTTATAGCAGCTCAATTCACAACAACTAAACTATGGAACCAACCCCAATGTCCTTCAATAGATGAATGGATAAAGAAAATGTGGTACATATACAGAATGGAATATTACTCAGCCTTAAAGAAGAATGAAATTATGGCATTTGTAGGTAAATGGATAGAACTAGAGAATATTATGCTAAGTGAAATAAGCCAATCCCCCCAAAACAAAAGCTGAACGTTGTCTCTGATAAGCAGATGCTGATCCATAGTGGGGGATGGGGGGGACTTTAGGGAAGAATGAAGGAACTTTGATTTGTGTAGAGGGAAGTGAGAAGAGGGATAGGGCTGTGGGGATAAACATATGATTACACTACTGGAGTGACTCTGCACCATGCAGAGCCAGAGGAATGAGAAGTTGTGCTCCATTTGTGTACAATATGTACAATATGTCAAAATGCATTCTACTATCATGTATAACTAATCAGAACATAAATAGATAAACAGATAGACAGATAGATAGATATAGAAAGATAGATAAAGTGTTTATTGTGCCAGGTGTGGTGGTGCACACCTGTAATCCCAGTAGCTCAGGAGGCTGAGGTAGGAGGGTCACAAGTTCAAAGCCAGCCTCAGCAAAAGTGAGGTGCTAAGCAACTCAGTGAGACCCTGTCTCTAAATAAAATACAAAATAGGACTAAGGATGTGGCTCAGTGGTTGAGTGTCTCTTTGTTCAATCCCTGGTACCCACCCCCTCATAAAAAGTGCTGAAATTTTGTGTGTGTGAATCAAATATTTTTTTCTGAAACAGAGCTTTATTCTGGAATAATAAGAAATTACCATTTATATAAAGTTGATTTTATTCTCATAATAAAAATGTAATACTTTGTTTTATCACTTTACATTCATTATCTTATTAATCTGGTTTTGGCAGGCCCATTTTATAGAAGGAATAACTTAGACATGGAGGTATCACCCAATTGCTGCAGTAAATGTTACATAAAGAATACATGGAGTAATTAATTTAAATCTAGGTTGTCTAAGTCTATAATCCAAATTACTATGACTTAGAGTACAGATTCGAAACTTTATTTCAGAATGAACAAATCAGAATCTCCTGGAGTTGTGCCCTAAAATTTGCTTTCTTAACTGGTGGTTTGGGAGGCACTTCGTCACCATCGTGCCATTCTATCTCCCTGGAATTGCTGCTTTTGATTTGCTGCTTTGCATCTCCATGAACCAGCCATTTACTGAAGCCTCCCATGAGATAAGTGTACAAAGTAGAAAACATACTTCTTGCCCTTGGGAGTCTCATAATCTTATACACAACCTAAAATATCGAGAAGACTTCAAAGCGGCTGGACTGGGCACGTTTTGGATAGATGACTCTGCAGAGGCAGTATACTTTGACTGGGATTTTGGTGGAAGGCAGAGCAGAAAGAGAGAAGTCAATGTAACCTGGGTACAAAATCTTGGCAGTGGCAATAAGACATATGGAATGGTTTAATAACCTCTCTTTATTTTAAAACAATTTTAATTCCGACCTCTTTCAGACACACACAAAATTACTAACCTTCTACATTCATGGCTTCTCTCAGAGCCTGAAGTTTCTTTTGTCTGTCTCGAATTCGGTCCAAAGCACTTGATATTGCTGAGGAGGTAGAAAATTCTCGAGTGTGATGAACTGGATCCATTTTCTGAGGCCCAAATATATCCAAGGCTATGCTTCCATCTGAATATCTTGCCTCCTTTTTTCTAGGAGTAGTTGAAGTCCGCCCTGTTACTGCATCAGGGTGACAGTGTTGGTATCTGTCAGTCTCTCCAGAAAAGTCTTTGTCAGCGGCACAAAGCAAGTCCATGGATGAAGCCCAAATCTTCTTCTTGGGAAGCATATCGATGCCAGCGATAATCTTCTTATGTGGGCCACTACTTTTAAACTGATAAGGGGAACAGGTATTTTCAGAATCTTCATGACCAGAATTATTATCAGCTGAAATGTCCTTGAAATAATCTTCTTCGTCTTTTGTGTCTCTGATGGACAGAAATCCCATAGATTTACTAAGCCCTTTGTTAAGAAAGGTCTGATGGGAGAATGGAGGCTTGTGTATGTCTAGTACATCAGAAGTAGAGCTTCTTCCTGGAATGATAAGAATCTATCATGTATGCACAGAAGTTTTAGATAGAAAATAAACTGGAATGTAACCCACTAATGACAATGAAAGCAGTGGCAACTTCCTAAATTCTCCAAGTAGAAGATCAGAGATGAAATGAAATGATGGTTACAGTGATAGTGAGGGTGGACAGAGATGCTATGAGCATAACTCTTCATGGTCCAATGTACCCCCCACCAGCAACACTTTTCTTGCAGTGCTAGGATCAAATTCAGGGCCTTGCACATGCCAAGCAAGTTCTCCACCACTGAGCTACACCGCTAATGTCTCTTATCTAATAAGTAATAGACTGAACTTACTTCTTTTGAGTAGCATTATTTTATCATCAAAGGTGAATTTTTTAGTTCTAAAAATGACAAAAATTGCTGATACTATCTGGTTTGGTAGAATATTGATTATGCATGAAAGAACTTAAGGTAATAATAGAACATAGTATACTCCTTTACCTTCTAAAGGTATAACTTAAATATATATCACTTGAGTCTAAGGTCATGATATAGTCTAATTTTTAAAATGAATATGTTTAAAGGAAAGCCAATGAATTCTTGCTATATTCTAGATAAGAATAAGACTGTACCACTTGGAATTCTTAAATTCAATATTTATTATAATTAGACATATTTTAGAAATTATTAGTGTTTGAAATCCAGATAATTTGATAACATTTAAATTATGAACAAAAACTTGTTTTTCCATAGCAGACCATCACATACTAAAACATTTTTTCCCTCTACAGCATATCAATATTTGTCAATTGGAATTAAATTCTTATTCTTTAGTCTTGATATCATTAAAACCCATTCTACTTGCCTTTTAAGGCAGTAGCCTATAAATACATCGAAACACACCAAAAAATGCACATTCAATCTGTAGACATTGTGAATTCGTGGATTTACAACAAAAGATCATATATTTGTCCACTACTGCAAAAAACTGTAAAAAAATACTTTACACAGTCACTAACACAATTGCTCATAAACACTGATGATTTCCTGTGTTACCTTCTGTGATTTCTCTTTATAACCAATATAAAATAATGATTAAGCTTTTGTAATAACAATAAATTGTTTACTAGTTCATTTGAAGATGTCAATTGCCTCTTCAGAGAAAGAGCTATAAACTTTATTGATGTGACCACAAAAATTTATCTTAAAAATTTTAGAAAAAGTGACTTCATTTCACAATGGCAACAAATAATTGCTTACTCAAAGATTAGATTCAAATATTTTGCTTTTCTTATACCTCATCTTCCTCTCAACATGGATCAACTTAAGTGCAAATATGGAAAACAACCGTATTTGAGATATGTAATACAAAGAACACTAAGATATATATACCATACCACATCCAAACACAGATGCTCATAGGCTCTAGCTTCTAAGCATGTCTGTGTTATAGTACTTTAGGGATAAATTGCATTCTTCAGCAAACTATATTTTAAAATTCATTAATATAAAATTTTATTGACTAGAGAACAAAGATATTATCAGAAAACAATTCATTATGAGATTCAAAAAAGTAAAAACTAGAGTCAAGAATCATATCACAGATGAAAGCAATTATCTTCTACTGCCTTTGACTAACAAGAAGTATTTAAAACCTCCAAAAAAATCAAACAAGTGGGTATTTTGGAAACACCATAAATTCACAATCAATCACTGTGGACATTCAATGTGTTAGTTTAAGTTCACTCTATTTCCACCATGACTGTTTCTTTTTCTTCAAATTTCCTACCTTAACTTTCTACTCTTTCAGCTGATTTCCTATCTAATATTTCACCAAGAAAATAGAAGCTGTCAGAGGAATGCTTTCTCATCGTTCCTTGACTACTTCTACACATATCTACCCTGTGCCTGCAGATCTTTCTCCTATTGTCTCAGAGGAAGTTGAAGGCCAATTCCAAATATGCATTCAGGATTTCCTTCTCTTTTTACTTTATCAAAGATTTTTCTTCTTTGGTTAACTTTGGTTAGCTCTATGCTTGTATCTTCATTGTTCCCCTTTTAATCACCATTTTCATTAGTATACAAACATAATCTAATATCACCCATGAACAAACCAACTTAAGTAAAATTCCTTACACGTTACCACATTTCTCTCTAGCTACTGCTGTCTCAAATTTCTTACTTCCCATTCATTTTTCTACCAACTTTAGTCAACTGCCAATTAGTTCACACCTTGGCAACAACCCTCAGTATGTATCACCAATGATCTCCACATTACCATATCCGATGGACACGTTTTTCTCCATATCTGACTTCTCAGTGACAACTGACATTGATGACTATCCATTACCAAATCACTTTCAACCCTTTAAAAGCATTCCTTCTACCTCTCAAACTGTTCACTCTTATTGTTTGCTTTTTCCTTCTCCTCTCCTGGAAATCCAAATGGGTTGGATTTCCTCAGGTATTAGTTTTAGAACTTCATTTCCACCTCCTCTACTTTTTCCTTTTATCCTCATAAACAAGGTTTTAAATGTCATCTATCCCCTGATACTCCCCAATTTATATTCTTGGCATCAACTTATTCTGGGAGCTCCAGTCTTTCATAATTGGTACTTCTGCTAGGGTACTTCAGAAGTACCTCAAAAGAAACATACTTAAAATTGATTTTTTGTTTCCCACATTCTCCAAAGTCTTTACTTCAGTCTTTACTATTAGAGTCATTGGCTCTGTTATCCAACTGATTGCTCCAAAGAGAAATATGGATACCACCCGTAACAGGATTCATTATTTCATCTTTCTTTGTCCCCATATCACATCCATCACTAAGTGCTGGTACTCTGTATGACTACTTCCAATTCCACTGCCATCACTTTATTCCCAATTAAAGTTATTGCTTGGTAAGATGACTGCAGGGAACTCCAAATAGGCCACCTGCTGCTTCTTTCTACTTTTCTTACTCAGCTATCTTCCATTCAGCAGCCAGAACTATCTTTTAAAAATGCAAATTCTGTGATATCACTATCCTGTTTAATGAGGCATATTAATGTGTTTTAAATCAAGTCTCACCTCCTTTCAGGTCTGCTACTTGAATCTTCTTTAGTTGCATATCTATTTCCCTTATTCCAACCAGGCTACAGGTTTTTCTGTTACGCTCTCTTATACATAAGTGCCTTTGTACAGACCTTCCCACTGCTTTCAACACTGCTCCAAACTTTTCTCACAACTAGTTGCTTCTCATCCTTTAGTTTTATTTTAAATATGACTTCCTCAAAGAAGTCTACCCTAACCTCATTGTAATATGAACAGATCACCTAAAATGCATCATGAGTCTATTCCTCTTGTAATAGGTAAATGTACAATGCTCTTTTTATGTCATTAGTGTTTACTGACAGGACATTAATGGGCCACAGTGGGTTTTTTTTGTTGTTGGTGGTTTTTTTTTTTTTGTTTGTTTTTTGGGTTTTTTTTTTTTTTTTTTTTTTTTTGGTACCAGGGATTAAACTCGGGGCCACTGGACCACTGAGCCACATCCTCAGCTCTATTTTGTATATTATTTAGAGAAAGGGTCTCAATGAGTTGCTCAGCGCCTCACTTTTGCTGAGGCTGGCTTTGAACTCGTAAACCTCCTGCCTCTGCCTCCCTAACTGCTAGGATTACATGTGTGTGCCACTGTGCCCAGCTAGGCAATAGTATCTTAAGAGAGTCATGTCTTCTAACTAGGTGTATAAGGTCCCAAACTAAATGCTAATTAGATGGCTCTTGTAGATGCTGGGATTTTATTGTATTAATTCAAATTAATTGGATATGAAAATATTTCAGTACATGTTTACTGAAAGTCCAAGAAGTTGTCATTTTAAATTTTACAAAACAGTACAAATAAAAATGAGAATAATTCACTTAAAAGTTTGCAATACCTTTGTGCTATGATTCTATAAAATATGTCAAATTTAACTATGGTTCAATTTGCTTTCTAATTTTGAAAATCATATTATAGTAGCTAACTTAAAGTCTCGTGACTATTCCTTACAACAGATGATTCTGAGTCATAATTAAGGTCTTTCTGGTGGCCAACAGATCTAAGAAAGAGATTGGTGAAATGTAAAGAGAAACTAGAAAGGAAGAAAGGTGGGAAAAGTGGTGAAACTCCTCAGGAAACTGGGCAAAAATTTGAGGAAGTATGAAATTAGTGATAAGTCTAACAAAGATGGTCTAAATAAAATTCTAAGAGCTATGAGACATGAAAGCATTCAAGGAAGAAACCAAGTAGATGCAAGAAGAAAAAGGAAGCAGTAGGGAAGATATTTTGAGAGTAGTTTCTCTACTAGATCTATTAGCCTAAGACTGCTTTTGCTCGCTTTTTGAAGGAAAAGAAGATATATCTTTAAGTAAGCACATAGGTGCATGGTGGAGAGGTGGATTTCAGCCATTACGAACCTGCCATTCTTAAATCAAATATTCCTATCTGGCAGGAGTAGCACTGAATTTTTGTCCTGTTAATGATACGTATTAATAATAATAATGTAATTCTGACAATTATAAATCTTATTAAATAAAGTGACTGTATTATATAGAGTCATAGTTGCTTTATGTTGTTAAAGCATTAGGGAAAAATTCTGCACTAATCTAATTTTGATCACAAGAAATTATGCTAATGCTTTTGCTGAAAGCAGTGCCAATGGAGCTATTCTTGAATTATTTCAGACAGAAGGAACATTTCCTGATGTTTGCCCATCCTGACCCAGGTGCTCCTTACACTATATACATAGAGCCTGTGGACATATGTTAAGCTCTTGCCTCACTGTATAAAAATTATCCATTATATTATGTATCTGTCATCACTCCCACTAACTTCCCCCACTTCTACCCAAAGTGGAAAAAAACACATAAAGACTTTATTGTACTTGTTCTATATTTCCAGTTCCAATAAAAATGATTCCAAAAGAATACAGTAGAATTGATTGATTGTACAATATTTAAAAACCTTTAAAATCCAATTTAGGTAGCAAAATTACTATCAA